AAACGAATTGAAGCTTTACCGAAAAATAAATTGAGAATTTTCTCAATAAATTATGGCAATCCTGGATGGAGGAAACTTATTTCAGAAATTTCTAATGAAGGAAAAATGGAGGATTCTGATAATGAAAATAATGTTACGTTAGCAGAAAATTTAAATGAAACGAACACCTCAACAAGCGGTAGAATAAATTAAAAATTATGTTTTTCCGGAATGATTTAAAAAGTTAAATAATGTTTTTCCGGAAATGAACAATTAATATAAACATGTTTTTCCGTAAATAAACAAATAAATAAACATGTTTTTCCGGAAAATAAACAAATGAAATGAACATGTTTTTCCGGAATAAATAAATAAAATAAAATATTTTTCCGGAAATAAACAAATAGAATAACATGTTTTTCCGGAAATAAACAAATAAAATGTTTTTCCGGAAATAAACAAATAAAATGTTTTTCCGGAAATAAATAAAATGTTTTCCGGAAATAAACAAATAAAATGTTTTCCGGAAATAAACTTATAAATTAAACATGTTGAGTTGAAATTTTATAGAAATTAATGAGCACAATTCTGAAGCAAACTTAACTAAAGAGAATACAACTAACGAAGTTTTATCGCTCCGAAAATCATTGCCAATATATACATTAGAATGGGAGAAAGACAATAAACAGCATCAACAACATAGAAATATCCAGCCTGCATTATCAGATAACAAAACAGTTTCACCTGCACAACAATCAGTTGAAACATTGTTTCCAACACAATTAGAAAGTGGGAATATTGATAATTTGGTAGCTTTTCTATTTTTAAATGAATAAAATGGTTTTAAAAATTCAGAGTTTAAATGAGAGTAAATCTGGTGAAAATATGAAATCTAATAGCAGCAAGTCTAATAGCAAAGATAGAAACAAGAAGCTTCCACCTCCAACAAGTGAAGAGTTTGCTGATGTAATGTTAAGGTAATGTTGGAATAACACATTTTCCGGAAAAATACCTAAATGATTTTTCCGGAAAACACATAAATTAAATTCAAACATGTTTCACGGGAAAAACAGATAAAGTAAAACATGTTTTTCCGGCAAATATAAACATTAAATTGCCTAAACATGTTTTTCCGAATTAAATTAAACATGTTTATGCTTTTTAACATGTTTTTCCGGTAATACAAAAATTTATTCAAACAAGTTTGTTAAACAAAACAATTAATAAACATGTTTTTAAGAGAAATAGACGATCAGGAAAAAGTTCCCTTTTCATTCTCTCCCCATAATGGAACAAATACAACAACAATTCCCCAATTAAACTTCCCCCGACAATTTGATGATGCAAAAACATTAAGACGTAAGGAACATCACAAAGCACACGTTGAAGAAAATAATGATGGAAACTTTGCTGATTATTTTGTAGATGAAATAAATTCAGAAAATAATACACATGCTTTTGTAAGTTTTTGAGGGAAAAAATTTCAGAAAAATTAATTTATTTTTAGCTTTCACGTCGATCAACAACAATAGGAACTGAAAACCAAATTTTAGTAAATGGAGTAAAAATTTTCAAAAATGAAACTGGAGAAATTAACGAAAAACAAGGTGAAAAGAAGAAGCGCAAATCGAGAAAAAAGAAAAAATTAATTGAAGGAATTGAAGAAACTAGACTTATTCCTCCTACAACATCCCTAGCAACATCTGAAAAACTCCCTCCATTGGATGCCTTTCCATCTCCTCCACCATTAGATTCTAGAGGGAAACTTGCAATTCTAGCAGCGGCTTCATCTAAACAATTTGCCCAGTTACCCCCTTCATCCCCCCAAACATCAATTAAACAACAACAACAAAAGAAGTTTCAAAACATTGACTACAAAAGAGAATTAGAACAAAGATTAGTATCTGAACATAAAACAGCGGAAACATTGGCAATAGAATTAGCAAAAGCCTCAAACAATCAAGAACATCCAACATTAAATACTCCTGAAGAAAACAACAATAAAAAGAATGTTTCTAAGAAACACAAAAACAGAAGAAAACAACAACAAGGGCAACAACAAGAAAACAAACATGAAGAAAGGGAAGAGAATGTAGAACAAAAACACGAGAGTCAACAACAACATAAACAAATAAAAGAATACAGAAGCCAACAAGTTTGTGTTTTTCCAAAAATGTTTTCGCAAACAAAACATTTTAGAATGTTTTCCCAAACAAAACATTTAAAAATGTTTTTATTAATTTTGTGTTTTCCCAACTTCTTTTCCGAACAAAACATTTCAAAATGTTTTTCTAAACTTTGTGTTCCTCAAAACTTTTTCCCCAACAAAACATTTCAATAAAAATGTTTCTATAAATGTCTAATTATTTCTGTTAAGTTTGCGGCGCTAATAGCAACAACCTCTCGTCCTATGCGTATGGGTATCGATTACGAGGTTGCTGACGATGAAGGGAATGTTGAGAGAGAAATAACCAATTACCATACTACTATTACTCAATTTCCAAAAACTAGAACAACAAGACTTCCTTTGTTTAAGCGCCGGCAATTAGACAGAATAGCTTTGGAGGTTTTTGGACCTTCAGCTTTTGACCCATCCATTGAACATCCTCAAATTGACGTTGCTTTGCTTTCAAGACGTCCATTAAATCAACAATTTCGGCATAAACGACCTCCTACACGTGTGGAAGGACCTGTGGAAACATCAACAGGAATGATGGGATTGCCTGACGAAGAAACTGATATTTCTCCTTTTGATGCTGAACGTGCACAACTTCTGGAAAGGCTTAGGCATAATCATAAAAATGTAGAAAACAAATAATTGTTTTAAAAATAATTTATTTTTAGAGGCAAGAAGAACATATAGAGACGTTTGATGATACTGAAACAACTCAACATGAAGCTGGTAAAATATAGGGAAAGCATAAACAATTCCGGAAAGGATAAACAAATAAAAATATCCTTTCCGGAATTTTCTAATTAATTTAAGAAATTTACCGGAAGCTCTTAGAGTTATTTTTCCGGAAGTTTTTATGGTTATATATTTTCCGGAATATGTACTTAATTTAGTAATTGCTTCCGGAAAGAATATATTCCCAGAGTTATATGTTTTCCGGAATTATAATAATTTTATTTCTCAATTATTAGTTAACAAGCATTACAACACTAGAAAAGACGAAAACTTGAATAGAAACACTAAAGAAAGCCAGCACCAAAATAATTTCGAAAATTCTTTTAATCACGAAACAACAATTTCTTTGCCCAATTTTGAAAATAAAAACCAAAATTTTATCCAAAAGAATTTTGGAAATCACGGCCATTTTGAAAGAGTAGAATCTCGTTTTGAGAAAGCTAGTCCTTTTGATGATCGTCACGAAGAAGAGCATTTTGAAGACGAGGAGGAACCGCGCACTATGGCTTCTAAAAATGCTGAAATTAGAAGAAAACCGAGTAATTCAAAAATTCTTCAATTTTTTGATTATTAAAAAAATATTAGGCCTTACTTCTGTACCTTTTATTCCACCAACTACGAATTTTAAAGACGAAGAGATTTCTCCAATAAATAATGAAGCAGCCGTAAAACGTTCAATAGCTGCTCTTCAAGTTAAAAAAGATGGAAGTCCTTTGTTTTCCCCTAAAGATAATAAACCTATGATGAAAATGCCTTCTGAAAATATTGAAAAAATGATACAAATTGATGAGAGAAATGATATTAGCAGTTAGTTATTTGAAGAATATTGTTAAAATTAAATTTATTATTTTTTAGTAAGTGAAACACAAAGTTTGGAAGATATACTAGTTCCAATGGGTAGGATTTATTTTTTGATGGTGTTTCCGGAAAATGTTTAATTGTTCGTTTGTTTTTAAAAATGTTTTCCGGAAATATTTATTTGTTCGTTTGTTTTTAAAAATGTTTTCCGGAAATATTTATTTGTTCGTTTGTTTTTAAAAATGTTTTCCGGAAATATTTATTTGTTCGTTTGTTTTTAAAAATGTTTTCCGGAAATATTTATTTGTTCGTTTGTTTTTAAAAATGTTTTCCGGAAATATTTATTTGTTCGTTTGTTTTTAAAAATGTTTTCCGGAAATATTTATTTGTTCGTTTGTTTTTAAAAATGTTTTCCGGAAATATTTATTTGTTCGTTTGTTTTTAAAAATGTTTTCCGGAAATATTTATTTGTTCGTTTGTTTTTAAAAATGTTTTCCGGAAATATTTATTTGTTCGTTTGTTTTTAAAAATGTTTTCCGGAAATATTTATTTGTTCGTTTGTTTTTAAAAATGTTTTCCGGAAATATTTATTTGTTCGTTTGTTTTTAAAAATGTTTTCCGGAAATATTTATTTGTTCGTTTGTTTTTAAAAATGTTTTCCGGAAATATTTATTTGTTCGTTTGTTTTTAAAAATGTTTTCCGGAAATATTTATTTGTTCGTTTGTTTTTAAAAATGTTTTCCGGAAATATTTATTTGTTCGTTTGTTTTTAAAAATGTTTTCCGGAAAATGTTTTGATCTTTTAAGATATGAACGAAACAACAAAAAATTATTTAGACGAAACAACACAACTGCCAACAGAAACAACAGAACAAACAACAAAACAAAAAGAAAAACAAAATAAAAATTTAAACAAACATAAAAACAAACAAAACATAAATACAGAAGGCAGTGGAAATAATTATTGGCGGTTTTTCGCTGAGCCAAACATTTATAGAACAACAACAGAATTTCCATTGGAACAACAGCAAGAAGAGGAAACACAGTTTTATAATGCTGACAAATACTTCCATTTGCCAAACAGGCGGCAAAACAATAAACAAAGGGAGAATGAAAATGGTCAGTAGAATTTATTGTTGCTTTTGTTTTGGGGCTTTATTGTTTTTGGAATGTTTCTTAGAAACATGTTTATTCCTTTAAAACATGTTCCGGAATTTTTAATTGTTTTCCGGAAAACATTATTTTTAAACATTTTTATGAGAAACCTTTTCCTTATTTTCCGGAAAATGTTTGCTTCTAAAAACTCTTCCGGAAAATGTTTTTCCGGAAAAGTTTAAATAAACATTATTGTTGCAGTGCTCACCTTCTGTACAAAAGCATCAGCAATCCGCGACTCCTCAAACCTTCCCATTGCCTGCGCAGGGGAAGACGGACAGATATGGCAACCACAAGTAAGTCCCCCCCATTCCCATTGCCATATTTTTTAATCTTAAGTAAAGGCAAGTGTCGTTGAAAAAAGTGGGAAATTCAAAGACAAATTAATAGGAAATTCTTTATTTATTTTAAGATCTTTATCGAAATCTACAAATATATGTATAGTCAGCCATCGCTCTCTATATAATTAATTTCAAATTAATATTTAGCCAAGATATGGATTTTTTAAAAAACCAGTTAAAAATTTTTAAACCAACATAATTACAATAGCGATGCCCACCAGGTACAGGATGTATGCCTGCCGCTGATTCCGCTTTCCATATTTGCTGTCCAGTTGGTATTGCTTCTATAAGCAGGAGAAGATGAAAAGCTTGAAAAATTTGATAGAATTTAACTATAAAATATGCCATTTATTTTAATATTTCCTCTAATAATTAAAAATTTCAGATAGTATTTTAGCTAATTAGAGGAAATATATTGCCTAAATTTATTTTTTATTTATTTTTTTGTTTTTAATTAATTTATATAAAAACGACCTTTTCTGGGGAGTTTTAAATTAAGGGGCGTTTATAGAATTTTTATAGTAATTTTGAAAGTATCTTCTCCCCATTAGCTTAACGGAATAGCCATAAATTTATTTTGCCCACTAAAAATCATAAAAACAACAACACAATTCCACTAAACACATTTAGTCGTAAAACATAATTTTGACAAGATTTGCGGTAAAATGTTGCAAAAATAAAAAGGAAGGAGCTTTAAAATTAAGGGCGGGAGATAAAAAGAGGTTTTCCAAGTATGCTATACGGTTCTTGGATTCTTTTTAAAAAAAACTTGTATTTTTAAATAAATTATGAGCTCCTTAAAAAATTTCACTATCGAATCCATTCTCTCCAATAACCATAATAATGTTAAATCTGCTATGAACAAAAATTATGTTCGTTGTTTTAAGCATATACAACAAAACATCATGTTGACGCCTACTCCATGTTTTCCAAGAATAATTTCAATGTATTTATAATTAATAATTTTAAAGTTTATATGTTTTTGTATATTTTTCGGAAAGAGTTTATTTAGACAGTTGATATTTCCGGAATATTATTAATATTCATTTATATTCCGGAATTTGTGATATATTTCCGGAAAGTTTATTAGATGCTCAGGAATATTTGCTATAAATCTATAACTCTCCGGAAAGTTTTATATTAGAGTTATACAATTTATAATCAATTCCGGAATAATTAATATTATTTTCTCAGGCCGCTTCATTCCTTCCGTATTTTTCCTTGTTTGTCTCTACTAAACAAACATTCCGGAAAGTATAGTTTTGACCGTTCGAAAGAAAACAAGGGAAATCAGAAAAAGAATGAGAATACCATCAAGTGTAAAGCTCAAAGACAATCATTGTAAGTGGAAGGAATGTTTAATAAAAATATTTTATTTATCAGTAATACTTTGCAAACTACATTTCTAGAAAAGCAATTTACAAAACAAAGGTACTATCAGTAAACTCTATTAAAAATTTTTTTAAATTATTTTAATATAAAGATATATTAACACAGAGCAACGAAATAAATTTTCAGCTATACTCGGCTTGACATCTCAACAAGTTTACTACAAATTTGAATACTTTAAAAATTTATTTTTTCTAATTTTAAGGTGAAAATATGGTATCAGAATAGACGCTACAAGGAGAAAATTGGGATAAAAGCTTTAAATAATATTAAATAAATCTTAACGGTCATTAAAATATACAAAGAAATGTACAGAATAATAAGGGGAAAATAGTCAAAAAATACAAATTAAAAAAAACAAAAAAATTTTCTCTATTTTCTAATTTTATTCTCAATAAAACATTTTAATTCAATCCATAGCCATCCCTTCCTCAAACAATAACAATCGTTGCGCATCATTCGAACTCTTTTTACGATTCTTCTTTTCTTTGTCATTGTTATTTGTATTGTTAGTCGTTAAATCAACAGAAGTAGAATTAGAAGAATTTCCAGCTTTTTTAATGCTGCCCCCAACCATGTCAGTGATTTTTGCCTATGATAGAAATACATATATGTTATTTTCCGGAAAAATATATATTTCTCCGGAAATTATATATGTTTCCGGAAAATTATTTATGTTTTCAGGAAATTTTATATATATTTTCCGGAAAATATTTTTTGTTTTCCGGAAAATATAATTTTGTCCGATATATATTTTTCCGGAAGTTATCTATGTTTCCGGAAAAATATTGATATTTTCAGGAAATTTTATATTTATTATTTTCCGGAAAATATAATGTTGTCCGGAAATAGTATTTAATTTCCGGAAAATGTTTCCACAGATTTATTTCTCCGGAAAAATAATATACATATTTCCTGAAAACATTAATTAATAAAGTTTTCCGAAAGTTTTATAAACTAATTGTAAAAACACACATGTTTTCTAAATTGTTTAACAAGCAGTGTTGGTGCAGACGAAGTAGTAGTAATTACATTGTGGGAAGTTTCAGTATTAAAGCTTTGTTCTGCAGCAAGTTTTTTGCTTCCAGGAAGTTTTCCACGAACCTACAAATATTTTTTCATTAATTTTAATATTTTCAATTAATTACCCGTTGTAACGCCCGTGCCGGCAAATTTTCATTTTTTGGACTAGGGGAATTCTTCTTCTCATTTTTGTCACAGAGTCGTTCACGGTCACTATCAATTAAAATTCCACAGTCCTCTTCATAATCCAAATTTTGAGATTTTAGTGTATTTAAAGCTTCATTTTTGTTTGAAATTTCCAAATTTAAATTTGGCTCGGAAGCAGAAACATTTAGAAGAGTATTCTGGGTATTTTGCTTTCCCGTTCTATTAAAAATAAATAAATATTAATTTTTTAAGGAGAAATTTCACTTTTTTGAATTTTTAATGCTACTAGTTTTAACATCTCCAAAATTATTTTTGCAACATTTCCAGGGCAATTTAACCATTTTACAACTTTTTTGCTGCTTTTGATCGTCAATTAATTTGGTTTGTGGTGGTAGACGTTCAAAACCAGAAGATATACCGTTAGTACGGGTAATTAGTCTGTTTAAAACATCCATTATTTATTTGTTTATTTTGGAATATAAAATAGAATTTAATTTGTTGTAAGACTCCGCCTGTAATTAAATATGTATAATTAATTCCGGAATATAATAAAATATTTTCCGGAAAATATTAAAATAAACTGCAAAAATAAATCTTCCGGAAAATAGAAACTTTTCCGGAAAATATGTAGTATCTCCCATTTCCGGAAAATACAAGTAGAAACTTTTCCGGAAAATATTAAGTATCTCTCATTTCCGGAAAATAGAAACCTTTCCGGAAAAAATATTTATACCTTGCTTAATATTCTCTTTTGAAGGATTATTTTAAAGCTTAAATCTACTAAACTCTTAATTGGAAAAAATAGTAAGATAAAAATCTTTTGTAAATTAATCCTTTCTAATAAATAATAAGATTAGGATCGATTTATTTTTAATGTATTTAATGTATTAGGTTTGGAATGGTTGCGCTTATGAATTAAGGGGATAAAAAAATAATAAACCTAAAATTAGAATTTTTGGGGGCGATACTAATAATAAATTAATAAATAAATTTATTAATCCTATAAAATACAGAAAAAAATTTTTTTTAAAGTTTTGTCAAAAAAATATAGTTTAATGTCCAGTTTATTATTCAATTTCTCACATGACTGTCATCACCCTCCTATCCAGTTTTTGAATATTTATGTAAATATGATTTACATTTTTTTTACTTTTTTTGCTTGCTTTTCCACGTATTAATGGTAAGCGATTAACTATATTATAATAAACTGGTGTTGATTGTATTAAAAAAATTCTGTCAGTCGTAAATGTAAAAAATAAAAAATAAAAATAAATATTCTTTTTACTTTTCCAGTTTTGTAAATGTAAAAAGATTAGTCATTTTTGGTTGTAAAATGGCTGTAAAGGTGTGATAATGAAGTGAAAAAGTGTTTTTAAAAAATTTTTTAAATAAAAATGAAAATAATAAAAAGTGTTAAAAATAAAAAAAAGAATTTAATAAAATGGAGAGATAATAATAATAATAATTGTAAAAAAATGTTGAGAAAAAAAATAGATAATCGAGCAAGATAAAAATAGAAAAGTTTTAAAAAATGGATATTACAATAGTTATGATAAAATATACAAAAGAATATGGTTATAGCATAGAGCATCTTCCGGAAAAATATATTTTCCGGAAAATAGAGACTTTTCCGGAAAATATTAATATAAACTGTAAGATTATAAAATAGTTTTCCGGAAAAAATAAATAATTCCGGAAAAATATCTATTGAAACTATTAGCTTTTGCGGAAAATAGAAACCATTCCGGAAAGGAAATACAATCTACAAAAGTTGAAATAAATATATCAGTTTGTAAAAAGGTTGCAAAATTAAGTTAAATTTGTAAAAAAAGTTTGTAATAGAGTTTGTTTAAAGTTTAATTATGGAATTACAAATACTATTGTTTTTACAATTCAAGCTTTAATATTGTAAAAACACAACTTGCTGTACAACTTATTTTTTCAATTTATTAAAATAAGCTTTGCAGTATAAATAAACTTTTTTTTACAATTTTTCAAAAACTTTACAATTTACAGAACAATTGAGGGATGTCTGATCAGAATTTCTTTCTCCAAAAATAAATAAATAAAAATATATATTTATATCCTTCTCATTCGCGCTTTTATTGTAAAAATTTGTTTGTGTGTGTGACTGTGTAAAGTGCTTTTCTTCTCCCAATATTGTGCGCAGCTAGAGTGGGGCGCAATAATTGAGAAAAAGCTTTTTTATACAGATGGTTGTAATTATGAGTGATTTATTGATTAAAAAAATTTTTGAATAAAGAACAAAGTATATTATTTTTGTTTTTTTAATTAAAAAATTTTTTTGTTTAAAAATAAAAGAATTGGGAGAGAAATTAATATTGACAGTCTTACGTCAAATAAAAATAAATTGATAATAAAAATAATATTAAAATGTTCAGGTTCAAAAGAAAATAAATTATTTTAATAAAATTAAATTTTTAATTATTTTTTAAATTGGTCTAATTATTAAATAAATTGGGCCAATTGTTTAATAAAAATAATTTTTGGTTTCTGCAAAGTTAAATTTATTGTCTAAATTATTGTTTAAAAATGATGAAAGAAGAGGGAGAAATTAATATTAACAGTCTTAGGTCGTCAAAAATAAAAGCTGCTTCATTTTACAATTTTTACAATTTAAATTACAATTTTACAAAAATAAAACTTGAAATTACAATTATGTATAATATAATTATTTGTCCAACTTAATTCGTTTTTCATAAAAATAATAAATATTTTCTAAAGCAAAAGTAATTGGTTAAAAAAATAAAACTTTTGATCGAAAGCTATGATTTGCTTCCGTTTTTAAACAAAAGTAAAGACAAAACATTATTTTTAAAACAAATATAAGCCAATTCATCAAATCGATTGTTTGGAAGGTAGAGCTGGTTTTAAGTTTGCTAACTTAAATTAATCTTTTCTAAAAATAAAATTTTTTTGAAAACACTTCTGAAATTCTCTCAAATTTTATTTAAAAAATGTTGTTTATTTTCCCCCACGATCCTCTTCCATCGCCTGGAACAAAGATTATTGAAATTAAAGGTTAAAAAGTTTCAAGTTTTAATGCTTCAAGTTTTTATAATTTACTCTAATAAATTTACAAATTGTAAAAAGTACAATTTGTAATCAGTTTGTAAATTTTAATAAAACTTAGAGTAAAACTTTTTACAATTTGTAAAAAGTTTATTTAATCTGCTAAGCAGGATTACAAATTGTAAAATGCAAATTAAAACTTTTTTACAATTTGTAATTTTTTTACAAATTATTACAACTTTTTTTACAATTTCTAAAATAAAAGTCTACAATTTGTAAAAAGTTTATTTGTAAATTGTTACAATTTGTAAAAAGTTTATTTTATTTGCTAAGCAAAATTACAAATTGTAATATACAAGTTAAAACTTTTTCTACAATTTGTAATTTTCCACAAATTATTACAACTTTTTTTACAATTCTTTTAATAAACTTTTTACAATTTGTAAAAAGTTTATTTTACCTACTAAAAATTTTTTAATTAATAAAAACATAAATTTACAATTAAAAATAAATATTCCAAGTTTTAGAACGTTCTTCTCTCGCACCATGCATTGGAGAGAAAAAAGTAATAGCAAAAAAGGCTTATTCTATAGAAGATAAAAATTATGTTGTGGTAATCATTTTTTAATCTTTTAAGAAATATTTTTAAGCTTCCACCACGCATTCGTGCAATACCTATAAGCGATTTGACCATATTTGGGGGAAGTAGTGGTACACGGCGTTATTACAAAGGCAAACAAAATTTATTAAAAATTAAAAAAAATATTATTATAGCAGAAAAATATGAAATACCTGAATTTGTTGGACGATTAGAAGACCAAACATATTTAAATGGGGACAATTTTGTTTTGCGAATTGGATATAAAGGATGTCCTGAACCGTTAGTCCAATGGTAAAAATATTTATTTTTGACGGAAAATCAAAATAAAAAATCTTTAAAAGGTATAAAGGACAACAACCTATTATATCTGATCCAGATTCCACAAAAATTGTTATTACAGCTGATTCTGCATATGCTCAAGTAAGATTACAAATTGCAAATTTCAATAAAAATTAAATTACAACTTTTTACAATTTGTAAATAAAATACAAAATATACCAATCCTACCAATTTTATTCTACAAATTGTAAAACTTGAAATTTACAATTTGTAAATTTTAATAATTAAAAATTAAAAAATTTTTTTGTAAAAAATAAAAGAATTGGGAGAGAAATTAATATTTATTGACAGCCTTACGTCAAATAAAAATAAATTGATAATAAAAATAATAAAAAATGTGTAGGTTCAAAAGAAAATAAATTATTTAAAAAATTAAATTATTTAAAAAATAAAATTTTTAATTGGTCTAATTATTAAATAAATTAGGCCAATTGTTTAATAAAAAAATAATTTTTTGATTTTTGCAAAGATAATTTAAATTTATTGTTTAAATTATTGTTTGAAAATAATAAAAGTAGGAGGAGAAATTAATTTTAACAGTCTTAAATCAAACAAAAATAAAAGCTGCTTCAGCTTACAACTTTTACAATTTAAATTACAATTTTACAAAAATAAAACTTGAAATTACAAGTATATAAGTACCTATTGTCCCAATTTAATTCATTTTTCTAATAAAAATAAATATTTTCTAAAGAAAAGTAAATTGGTTAAAAAAATAAAACTTTTGATCGAAAGCTATGCTTTGCTTCCGTTTTTAAACAAAAGTAAAGACAAAACATTATTTTTAAAATAAATATAAGCCAATTCATCAAATCGATTGTTGGAAGGTAGAGCTGGTTTTAAGTTTGCTAACTTAAATTAATCTTTTCTAAAAATAAAAATTTGTTTGAAAACACTTCTGGAATCTCTCAAAATTTATTTTAAAAAATGTCCTTTATTTTCCCCCACAATCCTCTTCCATCGCCAGGAACAAAGATTATTGCTATTAAAGGTTAAAAAGTTTAAATTTTTAATGCTTCAAGTTTTTATAATTTAATTTAATACTGCAAGTAATTTTACAAATTGTAAAAAATTACAATTAATCAATTTGTAAATTTAAATAAAACTTAAAGTAAAACTTTTTACAATTTGTAAAAAGTTTATTTTATTTACTAAGCAAGATTACAAATTGTAAAATACTAGTTAAAACCTTCTTTACAATTTGTAATTTTTTTACAAATTATTACAACTTTTTTTACAATTTTTAAAATAAAATTCTACAATTTGTAAAAAGTTTATTTTGCCCTCTAAAAAATTTTTTAATTAATAAAAGCTTAAGTTTACAATTAAAAATAAATATTCCAATTTTAGAACGTTCTTCTCTCGCACCATGCATTGGAGAGAAAAAAGTAATAGCAAAAAAGGCCTATTCTATGGGAGATAAAAATTATGTTGTGGTATTATTTTTAATAATTAAGAAATATTTTTAAGCTTCCACCACGCG